CCCACATTTGATGACAGAGTGAAGAAACTTTCCAGAGCACATCAGTAATATGCAGGATACAGTATAATTCTGTTTTCTTATTTTTAATTAAATAAAAGGAAACAACATATCAAAACAGACAGGAAACTACAAAAATTGAACCCTAAATGGTAGATCAATATTTGAAGGCACATATTTTTCTATCACAGAATGACTGTGTGAAAGAAACCATTCAGAGGAAGGCAAGGCGTGAGCTTCCTCTCCCACCACTCGAGTCCCCATGACATACCAAAATCTACTCCAGTCCCAGCCACCTTGTAAGCCAGAGCAGCAGCAGTCAGAAGAGCTTGCCCAAATGCTGGCTAACTAAGAACAAGATGATAAATAGAAGGTAAGTGTCACCTAATATGTGGCACTTTTTCCCAGAACAAATATAAAACTTGATCCCATGGAGCTTTTTTAAAAGTGGTTTACTGAGAAAAAAAACCAAACACAAATAGGAAGCTCACTACAAGGAGTGATCTTAGGCTGATAACGGTGGTGAGTTGGTAAGCAGGATACCGAACAGTAGGGGCAAAAACCGCTTTGCCTTGCTCGGGAGGTTGCTCAACTCGGGAGGTTTGTCCAGAACTATCCTTGTATCTCCTTGCAGCCTGCTAAAGGTCTCTTCTTTTTGGTTCTCAGAGTTCACAAAACTTAAGTCCTATCACCACTCAACACTAGTTTCCAAACCCCCCAACCCACCATTACGTTAACTTTAACTTTCTGTCTCTTTTTTTTTTTTCCTTCCCTTTTATTTGCTCTATTCAGTAATATTAACTCCATTTATATCTAAGACAAATCTCACCAAGAAGTTTCAGGGAGGGCAGTAAACAACTAAGAGGCCTAGAGCACTTAGTTTCTCCAGTCTTTGGAAAAAGCAGCAGAGATCCCACTGTTGTCTTACAACCATCTACTGTGTGGCTGAAGGGAAGACTGAGCCAGATTGGTAAGAGGGGCCTCAGACATGGGACAAGGTAAAGCTCACAATTTGAAATGTGGGAAATTCCAGCAAGACAAAGAGACTTTTTAAAATTGTTTTTTTTTAAACCATAAGTGTAGCCAGATATTGGAACAGCTTCTCAAAAGGCTTATCCTTGAAGATGCTCAAAACTTGACAAGACCTGAGCAGCTCACCCTGAGAATCTCCTTCCTGCGGCGAGTTGGACTTGATGACCACTACAGCTTTCTTCCAAACTTATTTTCATTCAATTCTGGCTACTTTTCTATGATTTTCTGTCAACTAACAACAAAATAATGCACTGGCTACAACTGATATGCAGTTTAATGAGATCAGCAATAAGTTTTCCATTAAAACATTTACAGCAAGATGTGAGCCTAATTATAATGTAATACCAATTAAAATATTACAACAGAGGTTTGGTTATAACTATGTGAAATCTTTATCTAATCATCTCCCTCCTCAGATGGGAGGAAGCAAAGAAAAAAAGGCTACCTAGCAGGTCTAACAAATACATGACTTACAGATGTCTCAACAGAATATGAACTTTTAGATTGTACAAGGAGAGGGACCAAACCAACTTTTCTTTCACACAGCTGCTTCATACATAATCTGGGACAACTTAATTTAATCGGTTGTTTAAAGTTGTGCATATTGATTTGTGCTAATGGGAGAGTTTAAATAGTTATGCCAGTTTTCAGATGTAAAACAAATGTACAAAGGCAGGATAAACACATGCCAGGTTTGGATCAGCTGAGCACGATCACGAACAAGACACCTACGCATTTAAAATAAATCATTCAACCGCTGTACTGCTAATTGGAGCAGAGCTATCTGTATTGAAATCCACTGGCACAAACATCAGGCCACGGCACCGTCTGCAGAGCTTCAAAGTTTGACATAATTCAGTTCTGGACTCTGTCTGCCACCCTGCACAGAAGGGACAGTCTGAAGGCTGGGATGGCCTTCTTCCAGCAGAAAGGGGTCAAAGCAAGAATGAAGTACTGTGTTCAAAATGAGAAAGGAATAAAAGAAAAGAACCACAAATATTTGCCATCTGTATTTACATGTCCATTTAAGTCAGAAGACACCAAATGAATATCTGGAACATATCCTACTCTTTGATCATAATTAACTGCAATTAGGCCATTACTGAGATTCATTTCCAAGACCAAGGTCCTGGAATTTTCTACCCTAAAAAAAGAGATCAATCTTACAAAACTGTTTTCCACAAAATACTTTAAAAAATCAGAAATGCATTAGGAAGACTTTTTTTCCCCCATTAGTTAATCTACACTCCCAATATTTTTGCTGCTTAATTTTTCTTAGTGCAGACTCACAGTATGATTCATGTAAAGGTTATTTAATTGACAATCATCAGGCCACATCACACTAGATTATATTCAGTCCTGTAATTATTTGAAAAGCTTCTAAAAAAAAAAAAATCCCAAAAAAGACAATGCAAACCCCAGGAAAAACCCACAGGTAATCAACTCCATGCCCACCTGGAACTCCAAGCCAGCTCCAAGCTATTGTTGCACATTAAAATTATTGAGTTTTAATGCAGCTGCTGATAAAAACCTCACACGGTCTATGCTAAATTTTCTGTCCCAAGAAAGGCTTAGGAGCACCTTGATCGTGAGCAGACATGACAGGAACTATCAAGTATCATAAATTTTTCTTCCAGTGATGATTTAAGCAATCTGCTTCTGAGCCATACAAATAAAAACTAGTCAGAGTCATCCATTTTCTGACCAAGTTACTATTATTTAGTGGGTTTTTTAAGAGAACAAGCAATTTCAGAGTGCCAGCACTAGCAGCCCAAACGTTAGTTAGCCATTTTTCATTTTATTCTCACCTTTTTTTGTGGGCAGACGAAGGCAGAGAGGGAGCACGTGTTACCTTCTTTTACTTACTAAAGAGGCAGAAATCCAGGGACCACCTTGGCCAACGTATGAGTTAAACAATACGTTGTTAAATCCTTGATATAAAACTCAAAGGAGGAATAAAAAGAGTAGGCCAAGAGCACTGATGCTCCTACTTATGTGTAATCTCATTAGCACAGCTGAAAGTTGTTTGAGCTGTAATAACAGAGTGACCCGGGTTTCAGCAAGCCTCGAGTTTCGCACTTCTGAAGCAATCGTTGATGTGTAATTGACGACATGATTAATGGCATGTGTGGTTTACGCCAGTCAATCAAGTCCTATCCATCCACAGTACGAAACTTAGATGGGTAAAATATGTCTTTAAAATAATGGTGCTGGTTCCGAGGAAAAAGTAATCAGTGATGACATGTATATTACACACATCATTATAGTTTGAAAGGAGAAATGCCATTAGGTGTTCTGAAGCAAAAGGCAGTACCACCCTCATATAGCTGTGCTGCTCCAAGTGACAGCAGGGTGCAACTTTATGACAACAGCTATTCAAGTGTAACTGACAGCCTAATTTGATTTGTATTATTCATACGCATTACAGCACACAACATGGCACAAAGTGCACATTCAGGGAGAGGATGGCTGTTAGAAAAAAACATCTTTTCACCTGCAAACTCAGGAAATCGCATCCTTTGAAAATCAGCAAACTATAATGACTTTTTTCCACCCTATGTTGCTGTTTAAAGCAGAATCACTCTTGGCTTCCTAAATAGATGCTGTTTTGGTTCATTGATTTATTTGGTTTGATTTTTTGTTTGATTTGATTTATGCTGGTTAACTAATACTAATGAATACTGCTCAGAGATCTCATGGAAGGAGTTTGAAGTCTTAAGCTCCATTAACATTGTTATGAGATACAGAAAGTAACTCACTTAATTGCTTCACTGATACAGATATTCATACACCAATGCCCACTACCAGCATTTCTTAATCCAGAACAAGGGAAGTAGCATGGAATAACAGAAATATAGGAATTAATGAATACTCAGAAATTATGTGTCTTGGACTATTAATACTTACAGTGACAAATTCACAGAAAACAGTCATGAACCAGCACTGACCCGAGTCAGCTGAGCAGAGCGCCACATCAACAAATTATGGTGCTCCAGGGCCTAAGCTGCCTCTGCTTCCCCCTTCGTCCCCTCCAGAACTGACTGTGACTCCTCTGACTCATCAGCCACAGCACAGTGTGAACCACAGCAGATAATCAGAAGCCAGCTACGTGTATCTGAAGAAGCCACACTGAACAATTACAGTCAGGGTGCAAGCCTGACAAACATTAGGTCAATAATATTGTCTATTTCTTTATCCTAATGAAGACTTACAATTTCTGCCATGCTGTAATACCTGTTATAAAATCCTTGACTAATAGCATTCAAGATGTTAAAGGGTCTGTAGTATTCTATGGCTTTCAGATTATAGGCAAACAACACAATGAAAACCACCAAGAATGTTTTTAAAGGGTACTTTTATTAGTGTTAGATTTTTAATTAGCATAGAATAACAAATGCTTCCTCTAAGCATCCATTACACTAGTCATGAAAGTTGATTCAAGCAATTTTTACTTATGATCCCACATGATAGGTCTTCCAAAAATTTCTTCCTTTTCACTTCCATGATATGGTTTACATGTTCTAAGATAAAGTTAACATGTGCTTTTTATAAACAGCTAGCATAAAAAGATTCTCTGCTTACCTTAACATGATCAAAAACCCATAGGTCAAGCTTGGCTGCATCTTGTGCTCCAAAGTCTTCACTTTCTGCTGCATAACAAAATGTATAAACGTGATCTCCAGTAGCACCTGCAAAAACAATATAGGTGGTATATGAGACAAAAGGGACTTTTTCTCTTTTCATAGTCAAAAATACTTTTATGCACAGGAGTAGAAACTTATCAGGAATTATAATCTTATTTTAAACTTTCTCATAATTTATGGTTTTTTGAAACCTGGATACCATTTTACCTTATTAGGTTATCAGCATCTCAGAGGAATGAGGAGTAATGTTATCAAGTATGCTCAGGTGAGGAAATAAAGTATGGAAATGCAGATAGGAGTAAAATAAATCCCAGTTCAAGCAAATTAAACAGAATTTCATTTTGAAACAAAAAATTTCACCAGGAAACTTCTAACCAAAGAAGATATATATTTAGAGCTTCCTTTAAACATGTGTTTTGGGGGAAGACTGAGAAAAATACACTCAGCTTTTGGTTTTTCAACTGAATCATACAAGACAATGCCCTATCTCTGAGGTCTTTTACACAGGAAAACATCCTATATGACATATAATAAAGGCATCAGAAGGGTTCTTATATATCAATTCTAGTTATCAAAAGCCCAGTGGACAACTTCAGGAAGACAACATTGAAAGTCTGCATCTTTAAAACTTGCATCCAAAATAGAAAGTGGAGAACTACTGAACTGTGTTCACTCACAAAGTACAACAGGAGGGCTACTGATGTGCAAACACAGCATCTGGACAAGCTGCTTTCATTCTCAACTCCCTGCGAAGGGAGCAAAGCAGAGAAAGGTAGAGAGGCAGGGGGGGGAAACATAGAAGAAAGTAAACTTTAGAAGTCCTAGAAAGATCTGAAGGTAGGTGAAGTTTAATTAAATAACTCAGTCAATGGCAAAGCTGTTACAGCTCAGGGATGCCATTTATACTGTGACAGTGTAAACTCCCAGAGGGTGAAGTGTTCTTCAATCGGATGATGACCAGCAAGAATATAACCGATTTGCTGGATGTCACAATTATATAATGCCGTTGTGTAAGCTTCCAGGCTTGTGAATGAAATAACATCCTGGTATAAGGGAGCTGCTTAGCCAAGATTATGTGCAAACCCACCCAAAGGGATGCAGGTATTTCAGGCCAGGAAGATGAAAGCTGGCACAGATTTTCTGGTGCAGCTCTCCCCTGCGCCCCAGGAGATGTTACAACTACTTATAACACAGAACGCTTGCTGCAGTTCTCAGTCTGAAAGAAAAGGAAGAAAATACTGCCAGGCATTAAAATATCAATTCAGAAGTTCCAGCTGGCAGATAAATGAGATCAAAAGAAAAAATAAGTCCTGTCCAACACTATCTAAGAGGAGAGAATGCTGTAGTGTTTTTCCACAATGTCACAGTAAACCCAAGAAGACCTTCTCTGAGAAGTGCCACACAAAAGAAGCCAAATGACAGTCTGCAGACAAGCACAGAGTCTGCAGACCAAGCAAAGAAACACATCTACTTCTTACTCATTTCTAACTTCTACCAGAGCAAAACAAACCCAACCCTGCACTGCTATACAGATAAACAGTAGCAAAGTCAAGTCATACTAGGAAAGTTTTGGAGTGCCTGCGTAGCTTATAAAATAAACATTTTTTTTTTTTTAATAAGAAATCCTACTATGCAAAATGTTAGAAAATACTATTTTGTTTCTGTTATTTGAGAGGTGACAGTACACGAACACTTATCTTTATGACTGGGGATGAGGAAGCAAAGACGGGATAGAGAAGTAGAAGGAAGCCAGGGATGAAAACATCCTTTAAAAGCGAGCACAGAGCTCTGCTGGATTTGATGAAGCCATTACACTACAGGAAATAACTGGAGGTGCCAGAAACACTCAAACCAGTCACCACCTATTCCTTTTGCTCTTTTGTCTGGCACTTTATCTCATCCTCAGCATCAATATCCAAATATGAGGATCATGGATCAAATTATCACCCCCTCACTAAGATTTACATCCCACAGAAAGCAAAGGTGTCACTGCTAGCGGGGCAGTCCTGTGTCTGACAAGCTTTTCATGGGTCAGAGTCCAGACCAGCAGGAGAATTTGCTAGCAAATTTTGCAGGCACAAAAGAGGGGAAAGAAGAATGAATGCACAAGGACAGTCAGACACTGAGCTGGACAGAGTGTGCGCATCAGAGAGCTGTCATCAAACACAGCCATGTGAGGAAAGTGAGAAATTTTATGTTGTTTAGCACCAAGGAATTAAAACGGGAGATCAAGAGGTCTGTCTGTCCAGAATAACCCCAACAATGGTTTGTCCCAGTTGTCCCCATGGTTTTGATGATACCCTTCTTCATACTCAATTTAAACAATGACACTAGTATTTCTGGAAGCTTCCAAGAAAGAGAAAGGGAACCTGTGGAACAAATGGCAGAGTGGGTGCAATAGACTGGCGTCTAATTCCCTTAAGAGAAGCAATAGTCTCAGTTCCTTTTTCCATTTGACATTTAATACTCTAGATTATACTCCAACCAGAACCACGACAAGAGTACAGTACTGGACTTTTCAGGTCAAGCCTCAAATTCTGGCAAATCTAGAAGAGAAACTCAAAGTTTCAAGGAGCATTTTGGAAAAAATAGGCTTTTTCAAAGCACATTATTTCCAGGTAATTTCAAGGGTATAATCTAAAAGCATCATAGAAAATAAGGTAAAAATTAGCACACTGAACTTGCGTATCTTAAATGAGTCTAACTATTAGAAACAAACACCTTCAGACATTTTCTCAAACTAAAACACTAATCATGCAGTCATTCAGACTTTGACAGATTTATATTTCATGTACATCTATTCTGGTATTGAAAGAAATCTGTGAGTATTTTATTTACCTTCTCTGTAGAATGCTCAACCATTTCCTTGAAAGATTTGTTACCAAAAAAGTACCTAGGGAATAGAGACAATGACAGGAAACACAAGACTTTCCTATCCTTCCCAAAAAGAAGTAGGTGCTATATAGTCTTTATTCATCATCCAGTGGAAGTGGTGAAACAGTTAATAAAATTCTGAACATTTTGGCATGATAAAATACACACACGAAGAGTCCTATGACCTCACCAATTTGCAACATAAAAAGGAGAGAAATTAAGCTATGCTCCCCTATGTCCCTCTTGGCTTTTTTGTAAAAGTAAAGTTAAAGAAGAAACACTTGATTCCATTCCCTTTTGTATTCTAAACCTTTCCTCCTTGAAAGAAGAAAAATATCTTTTTCTAGCTAAAAGAAGTTAATCTATCTCTCTATCATGAGAAACTATGATTCATTTTCCCACACAGCCACTACTTCTCAGATACATTGCTGCACCAAACCTTTGCCAACTTCGGGGGATTTCCCTCCCCCCCGCAAAAGGAAGTTCCATTGTTGATACCACTTAGAACAAGACTTATTGAAAGTATTATCCTTGTACATCTCTACAGATAACATCAAAGCTGCTTCCAAGTCCTCTGCTTATCTTCTTACTCAAACAAAACCAGTAGAAAGACAAGGCTCTGGGAAACTCTTGAATTCCCCAAATATTTTCCCAAGAACATATCCCCAAAAATATAAATAATCTGTGCAAGGGCAGCTACCTTTCCCTTCTCCCCAGCTGCCATGACACGATTTCCAAATACAAGCTGTAATCTGAGGTCATGGGAAATTATCAGGAGATATTTTTACAGTGAACCATAAATTTATGAGGCTCAAGCAAAGAACAGAAAAGAGAGATGTGGGGGGAATATCAGGATGAGAAAGGGAAGAGACATGAGTTCAGAAAAAGTTCAAGAATCATCATGAGAAATACAATGTACATTTTTTCTTAACCAATATTATATTCCACTCCTATTCTGCCTATCCTATTTTTCTAATTTGTCAATACCAATACTTAGAACAGAACTGCAGCACATGCCTGTAGCTCATCTCTTTTTCACTTCAGTCTGTTTATTCTGAGAGAATTCAAAAGGGCATATATGCCCTCATACCAACAGGATTAAACTTTTAGTTGTTTGAAGTGTTGCTCAGCAATCTCTGCATGCTCAAAGACCAGTTGAGTCGACAAGACTTTAATACACTGCATACCATGAGCAGAAGACCTCAGCTTCAGAAATAGCACCAGCAAGTTCCTGCTCTCATGTAGTTCTTCCATTTACATATTATTGTTCAGAGTAGAAGCAGGATAAACCACAACAAGCTATTTCTACAGCTCAGACACTCGAAAAGCATGGCTGCAGTTCTATCTCCCAAATCAGGGGGAGCTGCGGGCATAGGAAGAAAATTTCCAGCTGCATGCTTGCAAACAAGAGCTTTAAACCTCAAACAAAGAAAAAAATACTAGGCCCTTGTAATTTAAGGTGTGCTTCTTTTAGTATGCTGACAGAATTAGGTAACAGATTTAAACAGATGACTAATAAATACCGATATCTTCATCAAAAGCTTGCTTCTTTTCCTCCACCCCCTCTTGAATTCACAAACTAGAAACAAAGTATAGAGTATACACAAATACACAAACTGGAAATATGTCATTCACCTTCTTCTCTAACTCAAAATTTTTAAGGGTCTCTGTTTTACTACCTGATAACTATGTGTTAAAGATTCATAAAATTTAAGTCTTACCTTTTGCAAACATTGGCAAAATATCTGGGCTTCCCCAACTCCAGGTATATTTACTTTCATTGAAAACAGAGTCAAATTCCACTGGATTCTCCTTCCATCCTGTTAAACAAATACACCTGGATTTAAATGTGGTTGCCAGAAGATCTCACTGACAAGACTGACAGTCCATGCAAAATGTTGTTTGGGTTATTTTTAATAAGTTTCCTTTATATTATTGCACAATGAACTCCAATTTGTGAATCTTAGTTTTAATTCCTTTTCAACCTCTATTATAATTAGTCCCTCTTTCACTAAGAAGTGAGCTGAAAACCTAAGCCAATTTCATTATGCAGGGATTCAAACAGGCCAAACGCACAGCTGATTCACCTTCTAAACAGCTAAAATTCTCCTGAATTCTAAATCCCCTGTTGTCTGAACTCAGCTTTTGGCATTTCAGGCAATAAATTACACACTCATATCACATTTCCAGCAGTCACACACTCATCACGATACAAACTTCAAGACCTACAAAAAGGTAGCTGGCAGAAATACATAGATGCTCTTAACAACGATTCCTGCCAATCCTGCATTTGTAGTAGCTGTCAGAAGGAAGAAGCTTTTGATTAGGAACATGGACAAGACCAAGTAACTCCTCTCCACTCCCCTGTCCAAAACCAACACGCCTTAGCAGTGTTCAGGCCTGGAAGCCTGGGGGAAGGCAGAGGACCACACAAAAGACTAAGTCACTAACACAAAGCATTGTTCCCCATAATTAAGCCCCAAGCATGCAGTGACAGCCAGTTAGACAAAATACATACTTGGGACTTTTGCTTTATTTTGCTCCTGATTCTCCAACTCAAGACAGCAATAGTTTAGCTAAGACACTGCAGTGCCTTTCTTGTTTGCAACATCTACTTAGCCACCTCCTATTACATCCCAAATGATAATTAAAAATTCTGTTATATGAAGAGGTAAGGCCATTAAGGTACTTCTGCTTTTAGGGTGCTACATTTTACCATGTTATAGAACGTTAACATAGGTAAGCTATTATCATAGCTATCAATATTAAGAGTGGAAAATCCATCCGAAATTACTATTTTCCACACAATGTTGGTATACAAACCACTATGCAGGTATTTATTAATCATCATCTAGAAGACCAGCACATCACTGAGAACACCTAATCTCAGAGGACAGTGTTCAAAATTTTAGGACAGGAATACCTTTAGCAACAGCACTGACATCTTCATAAAATCCAGCTATAAGTGCAACGTGCCCCGGCCTGGATTCTGTTGGGACCCGGGTATGAGAGATTCCCCAGCTGCCACTGTTCTCTAGAATACCCCTGAAAACAGGATACAAGGCAGTTAATGCTCATGATTTCTTGAAAGCACAACAAATTGCAAATAAAAAGAGTACAGGTAGATGGGAAGCAGGAAATGCATCAAAAAAACTCCAAAAGAACGCCCAAAAAACCCCCAGAACACCGACTAAACCAGATTTTCACTACCACCTGCTGTGCAGTAAAACAAGCAGAACATTAACCTGCAAGTAGTTCTATATTATGACACCCCACAGAGAACATTACTATTGTGGCCCATCAGCACTGCAAACAGATGAGTTTAGCTGGTGTTGTAAGACACTTCATATTAACATACTCTTTTTTTCTGCTGTTTCCCGCTTTAGCTTACTTCCCCCCCCACACTCCAGATTGTTTCTGCCTGCTGCTGCTTTTCTTTGTTCTTTCCATTTTGCTTGAAAGTGTCTAATTAAATCTTACTCATTAAATATGCTCAAATATAATTAGGTCTTGTGACCATGTCTGCCTTTTTCTGTGCTGAATATCAGAAGCCAGCATAAAGAGAATCTGAACCGCATGCAAATTTAAGGTGAAAATAATTTTGGCAACAAGAAGAAAATTTAAGTAAACCTTGTATCTTTTGTAATTACACCGCAGTGAAGGAAAATACCTTCTCACCACACATACAGAAACAGACCAGATTGTCTAGGGTTTATGCAGAAACAATAGTTACAAGAGACAAAAAGCAAAGAAAACAGGGACAAAACCCAAGCGTAAGAAACAGCCTCATAAACTATTCCTGTCTGCTGAAGATACGAACAGCTGGGGCCTGTCGGAAAGCCAGTGGTGAGCACTACCATATGCTGTTTTCTTGTCTCCATCTTCTGGAAGAAGAGAGAGATTCAGCTTACTGTCAGAGCAAGGGGAGAAAGAAAACAAAACACACCCAGACACTCCTTATACTGATTTTTAGGATAAAACAGCAGAATCTTCTGAACAAATTCAAAGCAGTTTTTAACAGTCAAATTACTGGAAAATTGTATTTTTGTTATTCATGATATAAGATACAAAATTGGCTATATTTTTATCAGATATGTTTTAGCTCAAGTAAATTCTAATTTCATGCTTTTTAACTCTGTTTTTAATAGAGATTTTATATGACTGTTAGTTACAAAATCTCTATACTCTGCTGTAAATATATTTCTCACTAATGAAGTAAGAATCGAACTACAGCCTAAAATTTCAGGTTCTACTCTAAGCTTGCAGCATTCATGGTTTGCTTGTTGTGCTTTTTTTACACTTATTTTAGATCTCACATTCTCATGGCCTACTGTAGGAAAGCTCACAGAACTGCTTGGAATACCCCAAATACTAGTGAGAAATATAAAAGCACATAGAGACATAGGACTCTGATATGTTATTTCTAGCTCTCAGCTAGGTTTTAAGGTAAGTTGTACTGAAAAAAGTGCTAATTTGAAAACAGAATTTAAATATTACTTCAAGTGGTTTCCAATTTATTCTCACTAAAGACTGATCAGGATGTATTGCACTAGTATTCAAGGAAGATTTAAAACAAAAATAAAACGTACAGCTATTGTCATACTTCATTGTCACAACAGGTAGGAAATCGTTTTAGACAGAATTTGATTTCTATTGAATTGAAAAGTAATCCTCTACCTTTGCTTTTGTGGGACTGTTGTCAACAAGAGGATTAACTTCACAATCTGAAGTCAACAATAATACATACTAAGCAAAAAGATGATAGATAGATAGATAGATAGAAATATAACCAGATATCATCATTTACCTATTCAGAATTCATTTAGCTATTTTGAATCATTTCAAAGCCTTTTACTCAGAAGTACCACTGAAAAAAATTAATTTCCTTGACAGCATAAACATTAGCTACCCATAATAACAATGATGAATATTAATATGATAGAGTAATACGGCTGAAACATGACAGGCAAGGAAGAAAACATCTTCCCTGAAATCACCACCACAGCAATTCAGACCGCCTACTATTCCTCACAGCTATCACAACACTGCTGAAAAACAGATTTTTCAAGAATATTTGTAAAAGACTAGATACTTGGCATTATATCATCTAGCAATCTGCTTCAAGCCTAACAGATATTTATTTTTAATTTCATGTACCTAATAAAATTTTGCTTCTATTTATAGCACATTGCTACAAGAAGGGTTCTTGCTCCTTTAAAGACAATCTTACCACATTAACAACACAGTAGTTCCCCAAGTGCTCCACCTGGATAAGATTAGTAATCTGGATGTTATGTTGCCTACTACTATAAAGTGGATAAGGGACTGAACACTTAGGAATGAATGTGCAAAACCAGTAAACTTGATACTAAATTGCATATACTTGGAGTTAATATTATTGGAAAAGGAATGTTCAGACAGCAATAACTTGGCATTATAAAAAAGGAAACACTTCCAGAAACCAACATCTGATCTTGTCAACTTGTTTACAATGTTAACTTATGAAAGTTATGTAGCTTAAAGGTTTGGTGACAAAGCACTGAGCCTCTTGCTTCGAAATTGTGGCAGCTCATGCAATGGATCTGAAGATATGCTCTGGGCTCCGCATTTCAGAAAGTGCAACATGCCACATGTTTTTTCTTTTCATCCTCTCTCACACAAACATGTTCACACAAGAATAATACAGATGGCACTTCAAACCTCTACTGGCATTTTCTTCCATTCAGTGACCTGCCAGCATCTTTGCTTGTTACAAGATAGTTCTTCTCCTCCATTCACCCACGTACCTTCAGCACTGGTGACAATGTTTTACTTCTACAGACTCTGAAAGAGAAAGTCTCTAACTACACAAACAAGGTGAAGCAGAGACAACAAAAGTGCCAACTTTCCAGCATTAGACTAGCCAACACATCGTTTAACTTCTTTCTAGATAGGCACAATAATGCTGAATGGCTTGAACTTAAAAACTCAAACCATTTAATGGCAAAAATACCCACTTTAACTCTTTCCTGGACACCAACCCACCATTGCTGCTACTGATGGGGACATTTCAGCATTCACACCTTGATGCTGTTGGTTGATGCTGGAAAAGACCAACAGTTTTACTGCTAAGAAAAGAAACTGTTCTGAAATAGGTGTGAAGTCCACTGCTAAAAGACAAGTCCCACTGATGTGTCTGACATCTGCCAGTGGCAGAGAGCACTTCAGTGGCAGAAGCAGGTATAAGTAAGCTCACATAAGCTGGCGAGCACTGCAGCAAGGACCCCTCAGATTTCTTTACTACTTTTGCAGTAGTGGACTGCAAAAGCCCTAGCAGCTTCAGATATTTGATTATTTGGGTTTGCTCTGATATTCAAGTCAGACCAGTGCTATTACACAAAAGTAGTCTTATTTAATACTGTCTTTCTTTTTAGGCTAAGAAATTATTTGTCTTACAATCAAATAATTATCTCGATACAAGGAAACTGGGAAACTTAATGAAAATTGGTTCTAAGCATGCAAGGCTATGACTTTTTGGCAGGATTTATTTTTCACAACCTTAAACCAAATCACCCCCTTAAGCAATCAGACACATACTAGGGAGCACAAGGGAGGCAGTAAGGTCAGGGATGCAGGAAGGGTGGAATAAAGAGGAGGTGGCAGCCTGCTGTTAGATCCATTCAGGACATCTCTTAATCACTCCTTAAAAAGCTTAGAGTTAGAAGACGAGCACGTTAATGAACTACTACTCTTAAACTGAACATCCAGGAAGCAGTTAAATTAACGCCTGTCAGGCTTCAGAATTGACACCATGCTGATGTGAACGGAGAAAGTTCACACTCCTCTCAGTTACTGGCTATCTGTAGTGTGCAGGGGACAATATTGACTCAATTTACAGTGCTCCTGCTTTAGCAGCTTTCCTGACAAGGGACACCAACTCAAACTCACGCAGAGTGTAACTCTAAAGTTTGTCACTTCAAAGGCAGAGGGAAGGCAGTATTCAAGCCACCACAGTTTCCGTCATTCTTCTTGTTCTCTTTTTGACATTACACAGAGTTGCCCTCAGAAGCGAAATCTCGTGGATCAGTAGAGTTTTCAGATGGACTTACCGCAGGTAAGGTGCCTGGGGTGTGCCATTGCTGTTCAATTCATAGAGTGAATCTGCTCGCAGACCATCAGCAACAAAGAGTACGAGACGTTTTGCTGGAGGTGGCAGTGGAGTCTGCTGAGGGGTCATTCCATGGACCAGGGGAGAGCTGAAGTAGATGTCAAAAATGGAGACCAAGAACACACAATGCACAAGGAGACCAGCGAGTATGAAGATTGGTATATTCATGGCAACAGCTGGCTGGCAAAGTCCAACACTAAGAAGGAGTGAGAAAAATAAAGTGAGGCAGATGAGACTTATCAGAATCAGTATTTATTTCAGTTGTTATGGAATGTGAGTGCAACAATAGCAGTCATCACCCAGGATCCACAATCAGTTTCTGTTTCCAACAAGCTTTTCCCCCAGAAGTTTTGGTCAAAAGCCACTGCATGACTAATTCAGATTTTCAGAGAGCCATTATGTCTCAGCAACTCATCTCTGGTTTTTACTGGTTAATTAGATGGCTTCAAAGGACCACTAAATCAAGTCAGTTTGTTTTGTGACCTACATCAGCGACAGAAGACTCAGACAACACAAAGTCTCCATGAACATACTACCCTCTACTGGCTAGTTGCACAACAGAGTTGAAGTCTGTTCAGGCAAATGAGAGCCAGACAGCTAGAGAAAGCCACCCTATAGCAAATATCCATCCAATACTGCTTTTCTTCCCAAGTTCGCTATCAAATCTGGGCTCGTTATATTCTGTCTAGAAACAGAAACCTTCTTTTAAAAAGAACAAAGACACTGTGCTGAAAGCAGAACGCTATTCCTCTTTTAAAACAGGTGACAAAAGCACAACAGCTGCAGAATTGTTTCAGGGATAATTATATTCCCTTTCTGAATGTTTTGTGGTTTGTTTTTTTTTTCTGCCCTGTCATCATCTGATGTCAGATTAGGGATACAAATATGCTTAATAACAGGTACACTGGAAATGTACGTTTGCCAAGTGTACTGTGGGGTTCAGGCGATGCCTACTGCAGGTAAATATGTATATTGGCTGAGGTAAGTGTGGGATTTAAGCTGGAACGAGGCTTAGTTCTGACAAAGTACTGTTAGTGCCGTCCAAGCTGTTAACTTAGTTATTTAAATATCAGCTAATTATCAACCTTAACAAAACAGTACCTCCACTCATCAATTTAGAAACATATGTTCCTAACAGCCTGGAAGGTTCAGATTACCTATGTAAATACACACCTCTCTCTAAAAGAAACACCTTGTTAAGAATCCACTTAGTGCTTCTAAATGACAGTATACATATTATCTTGTTACTTACAGAATTCCAGTGGCTGAACAGACACAGGCAGCCACCAAATGGTAAGACTATTACTTTTATCAAATAAGGATAAAAGGCTTCAATACCAAATTAACTTTCACTCTGACCAAAACTCTGAAAGATTCTTCTTAAAATATTTTTTTTAAAGGCCAGGAAAACCAGAGGAAAAAAAGAACATACTAATAAAGATTTGAAAGTTAATATATAATATTACTTACTAATCAAAAGAAAGTTCAGATCTGTATACAACTTAACCATAACTTCTAATTTCACCCATTTTCCTTACTGAAACACAGATGCAACAACCCTAATTCAAAACACTTCTATAGTGATTTCTCATTTGAGAGTTTTGGAGAGAACACCACATAACAAAATAGAGATAACTTAATACAACATCTCAAAGAGACATGCAATAGTCACATTTAAGTGATCAAACAAAAACTTTTAGTTAATCAGGAACTTACATGCTTCTGTGTCTACAAGTGAGATTCCAAGAGAGACTTGGGATATCTGTAAATATCACTTTGTCTATTTTTAAGTATTCAGGGTTCCTGCATCAATTTAAATATATGAAATCACAATCACAGAAATACCACTAAGTTCAATGCAAGACCTCATTTTATTCAATCAGTTTTATTTTCCATAGGGCTTTTTCTTTTGATGTAGTTGTGCTTGATAAGAGAATCCAAACTATTCACGCCTTAAACTGATGAGACTAAACACCCTACTAAACAAAGCAGTCAATTCTATCAGGTACTTGTTGCATACTCCCAGTGCTACAGTTCTATAGCTTAACATATTCTATGATCTTCTAATTACAGTATTACTAACAAAATCTGTTTTCTGCATTAGCTATTTCTCTTTGCTTTAACTCTCCCAAGGCCTCAGTCCTTGCTTGCAGCAAAGGAGTGCAGTCAACACAATTCAAGTTTAATGCTGTCTTAGACTATAGTATCTATGGAATTAATAAAAAAAAAAAAAAAAAAAAAAAAGGATACTTTCTTTTGCAACCAGTTTGACTACACTACACTAGACTATTCATCTGGGCCCAAAATATCCAACCACTTACCCCCATCATGGGATTTCCAGACAGGCAGCTCCCAGAGCTGTGCTTTTGCCACATCCCTCACAGCCGCTCCTTCTGCCTCTGGCTTAGCCTTACACTGTTCCTTTAATGCCTGACTTTGTGTGTTATCACTGTGGCATAACATCGTGAAAAGTATTCCATCCTTAAGCTTACAAATACTTTCCCACAGATATAAAGGGCTTGGAAAGCTCCTAATTGCATTCAGCTCATTGTCAGAATGGCACCTTACGCCCTTTCCTAATTAAAGTCTGGCTTGCAACCTACTAAGCCACTAAGGTGTTGCCAAGGAGCACTCATCTGTGGATAGAGAGGCACCAGTGATCTTCTACACCTTTTATCTTGATCAAGTTACCACTAAACTTGGTCCTTGCCAGCCCAAAGTGCTTGAAGTTCATTTAAGACAGTTGTTTTGTGAAATATATCCTCTTGAGACACCAGAAGTACCCGAGAAGAACAAAACATTTCCAGTAACTGGTATTCAATGGAAAAGGAAGTTCTTTATCACTGCCTAGGTTCCTCTGGGACTTCCAAACCAAAGCACCCATTATATCCCTGTAGGACAAACACCCAAGACCAGGAATCTTTTTCTTCCCCCTTTGTGGTTTTGCATCACCATTTGACAGGCTAGTTTGAAGCCAAGTCTGAACCTGCCAGTCCAACACGGAATCCAGAAGCTGAACAGGATCTCATAGGTGTTTTGACAGGCCTGTCAGCATTATCAGGAGCTGCAAATGGAAGCACTGGTATCAAACTCCTTGGGGCTCAATGGCCTTTGGCATGTTTTTCTGGTTGGGAAGCAGCTAACCCAGTAAAAATTGGGCACATTCCTCAAACCATTTTGGTACAGAGAAAGCAGAGCTACCACTGTGTATGTATCTGTCCCACCAGGAAACACGCTTCTATGGCCAGTCTTCACGAACGAAGATCCGGGGAAGGTCTTTTACACCTTCCAGCCTGCGCATTGGATATTTTAGGTGAGACACAGTGTGCGCGGAACTGAGCCCACCCTTTAATCCTGAGGTTCATCTGCCGGGGCCAAGAGAGCTTGGACGGTGGCAGCGAGGTCCTCAGGACGTAGATGGATTGCCTTACAGGGCTAATGAGCTCCATCTGCCCGGGGAGGGGCCCCGACCGGGAATCGAACCCGGGCCTCGGCGGTGACAGCGCCTCATCCTTAACCACTAGACCACCAGGGGCTCCCAAGGAAACATGCTTATCTATATACTATTTCTCTGTGTCTCACACGAGATACAGAAAAGAAACCCATCTTCTACAGGATAATACACAACAAAAAAAAGTCCTTTAACTTTCTCCTCCCTCAGTTAGAGAGGTCATAATGAGCAAATTTCTCTGTGCAGCCCAGTGCTTGACTGTTTAAGGCAGAAATCTCGCAAGGCATGGATATAAGAAGGATAACCATTTCAATAACAATTTCTTGCTCACAAGGAAAAAATAACCAGGATAAAAGGGAAAAGTGGATTAAACACTAGTTTATAAGAAAAAGCAAAAGCCAAAGCCTGTTGAGAGAAGAAAAATAGAGATATATTAAACACACACAATTTTGAGCATGAGGAGCCAGATGTATTTATTAGTAGTGACAAAACATCCCTGCCCTCAGGTGCCTGACCATACAAAATGTGGATAAACAAACTGTCACTTGAAAATATATCTTACATCTTTCTGTCAAGAAAACTTAAACCAAGTATATCTCAATATTTTTGTGTTCTGTAATATTTTCTCAGGCAATCCCTTAGCAAGTGATTTAGAGCACTACCTTCCACAGTCCTTATTCTCACAAAGCAAAACACAAACTTTGCTCAAATTTTAACTGCATTATTCTACTTAATTCTGTTAAGCCATTGCCTATTACATCAAGAGGAGACAGAGAAGCTCCTAGTCGTGTAGGTAAAAAGAGTACATTGCAACCTCTTTGTCACATGCCATTTCTTACTGTCCATCCAAATACATCAATTGTTATAACAGAATCCTAGAATCCTAATAAAGGTAGCCAAATCACCTGCTCTATAGACTCAGCCCAACTAGTAAGGTATATATCAGACTCAGATTTATTCTATCTGTGGTTTTCCCCTTCTGTCATCATCTCTTAAACTCAATACAGAGCCAATAATGATACTGTCCAACCTCCAGCATGTCAGAACTTAAACTATTCTAATAAAATAGTTTTTGTTCAAATAATTTGGAGTCAACAACACAAAGCTGGTGTGAATTCTTCAATGAAGACCCTTTTCAGATCCTTAGCTGGAAAGTACTAAAGATCCACTAAGCCTCTCATTGCCTGTTAAATGAGAGTTGTTCACATGAACAGTTCAAGTAGAAAATTAGCACCACCCTGGTGATGCCGATGGGCTTCAGCAGACTTCAGAGCTTCTCACTTTATTGGATGTTGTACCTGAGCAGAGACGAGATCAAGAACACACAGGGGAGCGATTGAACTGAGAGACTGCAAGGCAGAACCCGAGGACACCCTTCTGAAGAGTCTAGGAGATTAAAGAAAGAAAAGCAGCAAGGACCTTCTGACTCCAATTAATTACTTTTCCAGAATAAAGTGATACACAGATTAGAGAAGGGTTTTTTGGTAGTACTCTCCCCTCACACTGAATTCTCAGAGAGAAAGTTCAGCTCCCAGTTGGTGGCAGAGTGGATGAAGGGATTCTTTCTTTCTTTGTATTTGCACCCACCAAAACAATATCCAAAACTCCTATCAGCTGTGAGTGCCTCACCAACAGCTGTGTCAGCGCACGGACTAAAACACCCACACTGTGATGGTGGCAGGGGAGCAAGAGAGCTGCAATGAGCCACCTAAGCACAACCATCAGACAAGAAGCAGGCAGTTATT